CAACTTCAAACAGGAGTCATTTGGGGGGACTCTTGGGAAAAAAGGTTACAACTCTAAATGTTATAACAAATCTACATTTTGGTCTCTACCATCTCCAGAGGAAAATATATTTGTACCTCAACCGGCTCACCAACAAGTGGCTTATGTTGCCAGTCTGCTGTATGTTGCTGGGCAAGCAATGTACCATGGGGTTATAAGACTTTTTTCTGTGTAAAACAATGTACTCAGTGCAGTGAGACTGACACAAACAGTACAGTTGCAGGAAATAAAACCAAAATAATTAGAGAGGCTGAAACATTTTGTTAGGCTGATGAGAACTTGAGTGTAAGGTTTTAATTATGTGTGAGTTTGTCACAATGAACAGCTCCTTTCTCACTACACGATGTAATTCAACCAATTATTGATATAAACATTTTGAATATTGCAACTTGAAATTATTCTGGGTCTTTTTGGTTGTGAACCTTTTACTGTGGACAGATTAAGATAAACATAATGTTAGTTTCAGACCCGCAGAAGAAAAAAAGAGACATCTTCCAGGGCCACTGGCCTCCTTTGGAGAGCTGCCACTTTCCACCATCTCCTACGACCTGCAGGATATCAATTTGTCCAGCTACAATGTCCTCAATAGACCAGACAGCAATGCAACCACAAGACACACTGTGTGGGTTACTCTGGGAAAAAGATCAAACCACTGACATAGGAAGAAGTACAGCTGACAGGTTGAAGGAAAGAAGCCAAACCAAAAGAATTTAAATTATAAGGCTTGACTTGAATTGCAATGAATGTCTCAGATTAGCGTTGAATGATGTGAGAGTGAGGAGATTGTTTAAGTAGTCTGGCTCTTTTTCTCATGAGAATATATCTATTAGCCTTGAATCACCTCAACAGCTGACCTACTTTCTCACGCCATAAAACTGAGAGGCTTTTTTCTGTACTCCTCTTGCTGTCTATGATAGCGGCACTGTGAGTAATCCTGGCTCCGTGACTATCCCTCTCACCTAATCCTACCTTCAGGTTCATTTATACACGTCTTGATCCCTAGTCTTTGAAATAGAGAAAATCAGGTTTAACACACATTTTATAATGTCTACAGATCTTTTCTTGAACTCTCGTTGAGATTCCTCACCTCCGTGTGATTGACCACAAATCAATGATTTTTTATCGACCCATTACCTCCATCTTATTTCCATTAAATTCAGTAAGCAAATGAAGGTATGCAGGAAAGTGAGTCTCCTGCTCCAAGCCTCAAAGAGTGAAAAGTATGTCTGTAGACCTGTAAAACATTGTTCAACTTTCCTGTTTTAGTAGCTACCAGAGACGGGATCAAGTCATTTTTTCCAAGTAACAAATACGTTTCAAGTCTTTGCAATCAAGGCCAAATTCAAGAACGAAAGGTCATCAAGTCCTATGTCCTAAACTTTGTGTTTCAAGTCCTAAACAAGTCATATCAAATCAGCAACGGTACGTTAATTCTTCAGGGTTCTCTCCGACAACATGACTGGATGCTATCCAGTTTTTTCAAACAAAGTGGATCTGGTGCACTCCGTGTCGGCTTTCTAGGGATGAATAGCAATATTGTTAGCTGAGAAAATTAAGGGAATTCATATTATTATTTATTTTTAAATAACATGCTTTCTTATTTTGGGCTTGGAGAGAGGTATCGAGTGTTTTCAAGTCATAAGACCCAAGCCCAAGTGAAGTCACAAGTCATTTGTGTTTTAAGTGGAGTTGCACGTCTTTTTTGATTTCATCAAGTCAAGTCTAAACTCATCAAATGTGTGAGTTGGGTCCAAGTCATGTCATTCAATTATGTATTTGTGGGCTTCTAAAACAAGCACAGTATCAAAGAAATTTCGGTTTCATTATGGACAAGATCTTTGGTAGAAGAAAAACAGCCTTGAAAACATGTCAAACTAGAAAGGATTAAATTGTCTGAACACAGTGTGATCAATGTCTTCAACCTCTGATCTTTAGAGAAGCATAAGCTCTTATTAATGTTTGCATACTTGGTTAAGTTCCCAAGCATATATAAATAACAAAATACTTGAATGCAGTGTTGCCCTGTTTGGCTTCAGTTTTAACTTAAAGAAAATAGATCCATTCAAAGGTTTAACCAGATACACAACAAATCAAACGGACAGCAAATACCTTTCCTACTCTAAATAAAATAAAAACATCACTGTGAATGAAGCACACAGTTACTGATTTGCTAGTCATACACACAAATGCCAGACTACTATTGTTGCCTAACTTTCCTAAGAAACTATGAGTCAGTGCTTAAATAAATCAACAGAAAAACCCAGAGACCTTGCATTCAGACCATACAGTGCCCGTCTGTTCAAAGTCTAAAACATTTGTCTGCTTTCATCGTGGCATTTCATTGACCCTAATCTTATTTTAAAAGACTCATACATACAGTGACTTTAGTGAACTTAAAATAACATACTGTAGTGGTGCAAAAACAGAAAACAGTTGCATTTCTTCAGATATATTCAATGCATTTTAATAAAAAAATGGTTTGGTCATAAGAACAAAATATCTTACATCTTGAATACTCTTTTTTTGTAAACCAGGCTTCTGATCTCTCAATGCATTCCCAACTCAATTTGCAGAGATTTCCCAAGGGATCACTAACTCTTGAGATGAATTGGAGAACTCGTACTTGACTGCAAACTGGAGCATACTCACATATAGAGGCACGTTCCTCCTGCTCAGCTCCATCTGCACAGCAACTGCAGACAAACATGGACAGACATTTGAGACAAAAAGGAAATCCAACACTCAGTGTAGCCACGTGACTCATTACTTTGGTTATTCTGCCTGCTCCTCTGATCCCGAAGAGATTATCAAACCTCATCTGGGCGAGGCGGAGTCAGAGCAGAGGTCCTCCGATGGGACAGCATCATCTTTTGATCTCAACTATGTGAATAATGATTTTAATGACGATGCTTTCTACCTGTGTGTAAAGTACCACAACACCAAAAATGCGCCAAATGATTTGCAGGCAGTGTGTAGCCAGACTACTCGTGCATGTGCGCTCGCCAGCTAAAGTAGGACATCGATTGAGTTTCACTGCTGCAGGATTCAGATCTGTTCTTTATCAGTGGCCGATTCCTAAACTGGACTCAACAGCAAATACTTATTTCAACCATTTTACCAGAAACTGTTTCTTATACAGACATGTTATATTAAAACGCTATATTTGTAATGGTCAAAGCATGACAAAAAAAAAGCGAGTATGACTTCAGTGTGCTAGCTTTACAAAAATAAAAACTGCTCATCACATGACAGTTGGGATAATGATGGGACTATATTGATTTATTATTAAATAGCACAAACTTGATTGTCTACTTTAAGAAATGTGTTTTTTTTTTATGTTATTGTTTGACTCGTGGTTTAATGTTGACCTATTTAGCTGCAGAATAAGGCTCGTTTTACAGCGCTATATTCGACCAGCGTTGACATGTTAGCAAACTGTCAATAATATAAGTATTCCTCACGTTGGAAAACAATTCAACAGCTGGAAGAAAATGTTCACATTATTGACGTACCTTCACAGCTCAAACTCCGCAAGAAGAAACCTGACAATGGGCTTAATTTCAGCAAAAACAGAGCAGCTAACCCGGACACATCCTCCTGTTGCTCACTGCTAATTCAAGTGGCGCCGTTAAGCTTCAAGTTGATAAATGGCGTTCAGTCGGTGCTGCGGCTGTTTCAGTGTGAGCACAGCCTCCACTGAGCGAGCATCCTCCTCTCTGCCAGTGTTGGTGCTCCGTGTCTTCCGCCTGGTGCAAATTCCTCCTCTTAATATGTGAAAGTTAACCGTTTCTTTGAGCTTACAGTGACCTCTGGTGGAAGGCCATAAAAGAGTGCCGTGTGCAGAGAAAAGGGTAAATACACACGTTAAAATCGGTACCATTATCAGACTTGAGTCGAGTTTTCTTACCATTTGAACACAATTATGAAAAGTCAGTTCCAATATTACAAAGATTTATTCACATCTGCTTATAAAACATTTGCCACTGCCAAATATTATGAAAACAGAAAGCAGACATTAACAGTTCAATCATTCAAAACACACAAGCACGCATCCAGACAGATTTACATTTGAAAGTGTTATTTCCAGACTTCCAAACAAAAAAATCAAGTCCGTTCCCATTCACCCATAGATAGATACTTCAAGCAGTAAATGCATGTTCTCTCTGTGTTCTCATGTTCCCTGCTGCGTTTTCAGTCACGCCGAGTTAAAACGCCAGGGAGCTCATGGGTTTGTCATTCTCTTAAAAACCTATCAATACCAGTTTGCTGACATGTGGTCTGTCATGTCTGGAAATGTGTGTCAGATGTTTCAAAAAGAAGTTTTTGGAGTTGTGAAGGCACTCTAACCCAGTCTTAAGAAGCTCCCCCTGCCCTCCTAGTCTCAGGTAGCCTGAATCTGTGGTCTCGAGGTAATCCCGTCCCCCCCGGCCAGGCCATTAGCCCTGCTGATGCCAGGGCACGGAACCTCCATCCTGGGAAAGGAGGAGGCGAACATCGTGTCCAACATGCCCATCACCTCCAGGAGGTCCTGCTGGTAGTCGATCTCTTTCTCCAGCAGCTCCTGCAGACGCAGCAGCTGTCGGTCCACGACTGGAGACTGTCCGATAACCGACCGATAGATGTCCAGGATCATCTCTGCCGCTGTGACCAGGACAGGAGCAAACCTGGGGTCAACCACGTTCCTGGAGAACAAACAGAAGAAAGTTATCGGGTTGCAAAATGTTTGTATACGGTTTGATGTACAATAAACTAATTAAATGCATCTGATAACACATAAGTTAAACATTGTTGAAGTCTACTTGAGTAATGAAGTTTCATCTTTGTCTTACCCTATGAGAAAGTTTAGCAACCGAGCGAGGGCTTGTTCATCCCTTCCTGCCAGAGCGTTCTTCAACGTCCCCCTTCGATCCAGCTCCTTCATAACAGCCACTGTGATCTCTGGCTTTCGGTGTCTGGTCCATGTCTATAAATGAAATTACATTCATTATGACAAGTAAAATCATACTAAAAACCTTTTGCCATGCTTGCTTGTGCAGGAGGGTTGGGTTTCAGCTTCCAATATCGAGGATAGTGAGATGAATTCATAACGCTCAAAAGTAAAAGTAGCTGACTGATTTGTATTGCAAATTGAAAAAAAGGCAAAACTTTACAAGAAAAGGAAGTTGCCCTGTTGCCATTTTATAAATGCATACCTCCAGAGCTGTATCCAAATCCATACATTTTTTTTTTTGCAGGTTCCACTGACATTGCAAATTAATTATTTGAGGTATATACACACTACATGCTAATGATGGTAAATGTAATATCAGCAGTGGCGAAAAACAAGTGCAAAATTGTTTATGGGTTGTCAGAACACTTGAGATCATCAGGAAATTCAGTCGATGGATCACTCAAGAGATCATCATTCAACAATTGATTCAATAGGCAAGAACTTCAGTAGACACCATCACCTACTGCTGCCTTGCATTGTTGGCTGTGCTGGTAATTGAAAAGGAAAATCTAAAGTCATTTAATGGAACCATTTGAATAGCAAAACGTACACAATTCCATTTTACATAAGGACAAGGATAGATCATATTTCTTAAAGTTTGACAACATGAATACATATCATAGCTAGCCCTCATCACCAACTATTGCTGATGAGTATAATAAAACATACTATTTTTCTTAGCGAAAGTAACATTTCTCATTTTAATAATATTTTTTTTCTATAACAATGTAGAGTTAAATTATTGTTTTCCAAAGTAGCCATATGAAAAGCAGGATGATGTACAGTGAGCTGGTCATTATTGCACAATCAACCATAGCAGGCTGAGCAGGACTTGATTCACAGCTTGCTTTATATTATCCCATATGTTCTTTCTTTTCATATTTAAGTTTTGTTTAGAAAAATAAAATGTTTGATTAAAATAAAAAAGGAAAATCAAATGGCGAAATGTTGCTTGATTTTGGCTGTACATCTGTAAATCAGTTTAATCTAAAAGCCACAATGAAAGATGTTGTTCAATAGTGGTTATATTGAAAAATCTCCTGGCTACAAAAAGAAAGATTATCTGGCATGCAAACATTGTTTTATAAACAAATGTGTCACCCCTCTATCTCACCAGTGATGAAGAGATCTCTGTTGAGTTTGCTGGCAACGCCACAGCGAATGTAATCTGTGTGTTCTTGGTAGGAGTTGAGCTCAGTGGCATTTGGGAGGTCCCAAAGTCGACACGTGTAGTCGTCTGACCCTGTGAGGATCTGGTAACGGTCTGAGATAAAGTCTGTCACATGTACAGCCCTGAGCAGGAATAAAATAAGACGAAGCATATACATCAGTTCTCTTTAATTAGAACATGCAATAGGGTCAGTAAAACAGTTTTAAAAAGGTTGTCAGAATTATTGAGATCATCATGGAAATCAGTCGATGGATCACTCAAGAAATCATCATTCAACATTTACAATGTTCAAATTCAATTTTCTAACAAGCAGTCTTTAGGCAAGACCACCCGGACATGTTACACATGGGATACCTACTTTGTGTGCCCTTTGAACATTCTGAGAGCCACCTTGCCGCTGACATCGAACAGCCGGACCACAGAGTCCTCACATCCCGCCACGAGCAGCTGACCGTCTGACCTGAACCTGCCACAGTATGCAGTGTCCTTAAAACGTGTAAATGACGTCACAGGCTCCTGGGAGAATGGCCCGTAAATGTGGATCTGAAGAATAACCACAGTTATAATGAGAAAATGCATACACATTGCTTATTCAGAGGATTTACCGTAACAACAATTGAGTGAACACTTGACTAAATGCAAAAAAATAAGTTTAAAACGGTTTATTAGTTGTCAGAATACTTGAGATCATCAGGAAATTCAGACGATGGATCACTCAAGAGATCATCATTCAACAATTGATTCAATATACAAGAACTAGTAGACACCATCTCCTACTGCCGCCTTATATTGTTGGCTGTGGTGGTAATTGAAAAGAAATGGCAAAATCGAATCAATTATTTTTATACATATATAAAAAGATAGGTGGACATCCCTTAAAGATTAACACAATTCAGAAAAAGAAGACAACATACCCTTGTGAATGCTGTCACAGCAAAGTTGTGTGGGGCCACGGGGGAGAAGTCTATATTTGTGATTGCTCCGAATTCTTTTATGTGGAGCGGAGCCTGCAAGAGAATAAAGAAAGATGCATTGCTGAGCTCTAGGAAAAAATGATAAGGTTGTCTCTGTAATATCAAAACAATATACACTAGAGACTTACCTTGTAGTTTTTCCAGTAGAGTGTGTCCTGTGTGACTTTCTCTCCAAGTTTAGGATAGACTTGGATTTTGGTAGGTTTAAATGAAGCCATTTTTCTGCTGATCACCAAATACTCTGGTAGGGAAAACAAAAACCATGAACACATTGCAAGATATATGACACTTAAACCCCCCTCTGACCTGGTTGGTAAAATACAAATGCATTCAATGCAGTCCAACAATTCTCCAACCAAGATAAATGTACTTGAAATTGTTTGTTGTCGTTAATTTACATCTGTAAAGTTTGTAAACCCGATAGAGCTCTAACAAGGAGCTGGATCAAACAAGCAGATTATGATGCTGTCAGTCAGGATGAAAGAAGGTGTTTTTTCTTACAACGTGAAAGCTTGTTGTAATTGAAAATAAACGTGGATAAACTGGATTGAAAATACTTAAAAGCGAAACAAAAATGAATTCACAAGAATACAACCAGCAAACGGGTTACTAAATGCAGCAACATTGACATAAAGGCCACACAGCCGTGTTTAACCCAACAGTATCACAACCCAAAAAACTATGCACAAAATAGTTAATTGTAATCCAACAGTGTCACTGTTTCGAGACAGCAGATGTCTTCGCTGCGCATTTACAGATAAATATTGCCTTTAAATTATTATTTTTAAACTACACGCTACAACAGGCAGCTTGCTAGAAAAGAGATCAGAGCCAACGTGTTCACCACAGCAGGGTTAGCACAATGCGCTTTAGCCGCCTAGCATTTTCTACTAAACTGCTTTCTGATGATTCTCAGAATTGAACGAAAAGGTGTAAGAGTGCAAACTTACCTTTTAACTATGATCTGTAGAAATTAGATGATACTGATGTTGGTTTTCCAAGTAAACCAAAAGTTGATCATTTTAAGAAGCTATCACGTTGCCTCTCGTGCGCAGGAGGACGCCATGATTACATCGTGACGACTTCCGTTATCAATGGCATATCTTTATTGTTCACTGGAAGGAAAACGTTATTCTTTTTTTCCAATTTCAATGGCACCATATCAACCTAGTATTAAACAAACTGAATTAAACAGTAGTATTAAAGTATGTTTTTGTATATTTCCTAATGTAATAATAACCCTTATCTTATCAGAATGTCAAGAGCTCACTTCTTTATGTACATTTCAGAAATAGGTAAATAATTGGACATGCTCTTTGCTGCCTCAAATGTGACCAGATACATATTATTATTTAGAAAAAAATACACTTTAATGTTTTAAGTCACATTCAATTATTAGTTGAAACAATGTTTTGGGGCACATCCGCTAAGTTATGCACCTCAGAACGCCACTTCCGGTCCTCGCTCCTTTCTCCGAGCTTCTATCGACTGTGTGACCCGCGTGTTTACACACTCCCAGGTTAGTTTACCTCACTGACGTATTGTATAAGCTGTCTGAGCCCCATATATATTAGACAGTGTAGAGGAACAGTCCCTTGTCTCATTCTATGCGCTGTTGCGGACAAATGTTTATTATACGTGGGCGTTAGTGTCAGTTTAAAGAGGCCCGAGCTAGCTGTTTAGCTTGGCGAGCTAACAAACCGACAGTTCAGTTATCATACTTTCTGAGAGCCCGGGTTGAAAAACAAGTGGCCCTGACTAAGTGGCTGAAAAACCAAGCATGACCCAACATCACATACTTTCATTATGCTTATAAAGCTAGCCAGCAGAACGTTGCAGACCTAACTTAGGCACACACTTCAGCTGCCCACCTCTGTCTAATTCATGCAGAACTTGAGTCGAGACTAAAAAGTGTGCAGCTATTTTTGGGCTTCTGGCAGCTGACTACGGGGGGATTTGGGGGAGTTTTAGGTTTGGCACTTAATTGTTATTGCAAACCTAATGTATCTATTGAACTGTTGAGGTCATACATTAAGTGCCTGCTTTTTGCATATTTCTTTATTAGGGATTCTCATATCAAAATCCAATTTTTACTATGTGTGATGATGGGAATGACTCAATAGAAAACACAATAAGTAATGATGATAAGTGTAGGTATCCCATGTTTCACATGTCTGTGTGGTCTTTCCTAAAGGCTGCTTGTTATAAAATAGAATTTGAATATTGTAAATGTTGAATGATGATTTCTTGAGTGATCCATCGACTGATTTCCATGATGATCTCAATAATTCTGACAACCTTTTTTTAATGGTTTTACTGACCCTATAACATGTTTTAATTAAAGAGAACTGATGTATATGCTTTGTCTAATATTTTATTCCTGCTACTATTGGTGCTTTCTTGTCTCCCAGCTCTGTGTTTGGGGAAAGTTTTCTATTTGTGAACAAATATTACATTTCAAATATATACAATGTTGTTCCTTGTGTCAGATGAAGGAGTTTATAATGAACCAGGAGAAGCTCGCCAAACTGCAGGCGCAGGTCCGCATAGGCGGCAAGGTGAGTTGGAATGCATTCTGGCAATTGACTTGAAGAAAAAGTTTTTTGACATTGGATTCTTGGTATATTATATTCATGTGCATTGTTGTGCTCTCTAGGGGTCAGCGCGCAGAAAGAAGAAGGTGGTGCACAGAACAGCAACAGCAGATGACAAGAAGCTGCAGTTCTCCCTCAAGAAACTGGGAGTCAACAACATCTCTGGCATTGAAGAGGTACAGCAAATTATTTCTGAAATTCTTAACAATAAGTAAGTAAATGTGTCCTCTTCATGACGATGATGCTTTTAGGACAGGGTACTCTTAAGTAATACAATTAAGTATTACAAATAGCATATATAAAATAAAAAAAATTGATTGTTACCAAAGGAATTCTCTTTTAAAGAAGCAGTCAGCAGGTATAATACAATATACTTTTTCTCAAATTCAGCACATATCTCGGTTAGCTGTTCAGTTGCTCCGTGTGCATGTACAAATACAAATCTGGGTTGGCTCTGTAAATTGGAAACAAACAAAGAGGATTTGAACCAAGTACATATAAAGGCAGTGGGGAGAGAGGCATGGTAAAGGGGGGTATTTGTGTGGGTGTTCAAACATCAAAGATCGTTCTCCAGAAGTACTCACTCCACCTTTTAACTGATTTGATTTCATCCTGAAGCAATGAGAACAAATAACAATGAAAGTACTGTTAAGATGATTGAATCTGTTCATCATCCTCTTTGCCACTGACCATGCACTCTCTGTTGCTTGTTTGTTCCTCTGTAGGTGAACATGTTCACAAACCAGGGGACAGTGATCCACTTCAACAACCCAAAGGTGCAGGCCTCACTGGCGGCCAACACCTTCACCATCACAGGGCACGCTGAGAACAAGCAGCTCACAGAGATGCTCCCAGGAATCCTGAACCAGCTGGGAGCCGACAGCCTCACCAGCCTCAGGAGATTAGCCGAGAACCTGCCCAGACCAGGTACCCCTCACACTCTTTCCTGATCTGTGTGCATGTACCAGAACTCTCTTTGTGCTGTCTATCAATGATTTGCTGTACTTCACCCCCCTCATAGCTGGAGAGGATATGGCCCCCATGGTTGCTGCTGAAGAGGATGAGGATGATGATGTTCCAGGTAAGCACATTTACACATCCTGTTTTTAAACATTTTTTTATTTTTATTTTATTCATGTAATATAGCATTAAAGTAGGCGAAACACTTACAGTCGAGAACAGGCTGACTTGGACGTTTGCCTTTTTGTCTTGTCACGTCAAGTATGTGTTTTTTTATATCTTTCAAACTGTCTAAATGTATCTTGGTGTGAAATGAAAAAACAGATGATCACAAATGGAATGTATGGCGCTGATACATATGGTAACATTTAGTAATTTAGTTTCATTTGTATATTCAATGTTATGATCCTTGAGACATTTTCTTACCTTTACGGCTCACTGTTTTCTGTCCTCTCCCCTCTTCTCCCTCTGTTTCTGTTTTTAGATCTTGTTGAAAACTTTGACGAGGCTTCAAAGGACGAGGCAAACTAAAAAACACCAGCACACATTTCTATGCCCCTTGGGACTCACCGTACTTTGACAAAGCCACATTTTGTAATCATTGATCTGTAACTGCTCTGTGGCTACAAAGGTTATCTGGCATCTGTTACTTTTGTTTTTGCCTTGTTTTGCAAACATACATATTAAATAATTTAATTCAGTGCAATGTGCAAACCTTTCTCTTTCACGTGCTGCCTTTCCAAGTGTTCCTGGCAAATGTATTGGTGGAATCATGTAATAAAAATGCCATTTAAACAGAAAGGTTTTATAACTTTGCAGTTTTTATTTAAACTCATGGTCCTAGTTTTCACATTTCCTCAGGGGATTAGATAATGGAAACCATTACTTATAACTGAACATTGGATTATTTGTCATTATTTACTGTGTAGAGAAAGCATAACATGTTGTCCGGAAGTATAACCATATAGTAATAACCTAGAATTGAATCACAAAGCATTCCTTTGTTGGGGGAAAACAATAGAAGCTTGACAGGGACTTTCGGTTTAGCTTTTTATCATGAAATGCAAGCCCATTAGGAGTCCCTTTTGACAGCAGCATTAGTATTTGGAAATGTTTCTATTGCATGATACTGAAGATTAAAAACAGTACAGGCATGCAGTGTAGACGGACTGTAATTAAACCAGATGCCTCAAACACTATTAGGCAAAGTACAGTAGTTGCTGTGTAGCCTTTCCTCTTCACAAGGCCCCATTCTGGATACACACATGTACATGATTATAATGTTCTTACAAATCTCTTTAATATTCAGAAGTAAAGGTCCCTAACTTCTATTCACATTGCATCTGTACCAACCGGTAAACAAAGTAATGTTCTTATTTAGTGTCAAAGGTAAATGTTTCCTTAAAGGTACAGCTTTTTTAATTAACTTGTATATGAATAAAACTGGTTGAAACAGCAACATATTAGGTTGATGTTTTTAAAAGGTTTCAGTGTTCCCACATATGAGAGGTTTTTTGTATTAGCACTCACCAACTCTGGCATTACACATGAGGTACAGTCAGTTATTGGTGCCACAGAATATCAGCTGGCGAAATAGGTTTTATGCTAAATATTTGTTCAAACTGCTAAATTAAACTGCATGGTTCTCATACCTTAAATGTTCCAATAGATATCCAGAATCACGGGCACAAAATAAGTCACACTGGTATACTCGTATCTATTTATACTGTTTGTATGAAATGTGTTATGTAGGGTGGATAATGACACCTATTGAAGTGTTTTGGGCACCCTTGATGGTTTTTTCCACTGTCTGGACTGAAGTGACCTAAGCGTCTGACATTGTGCCGCACATGGTGTACACTAAAAGATGAAAGTAACACATTTAATTGTTCGGGACTTTTTCTTACCCTTCTGATTCAGAGGAAAAGATAAGTTTGGTGACTCAAAAATATATTTAAAGACTTGAAACTGAAAAAAAAATTACTTGCAGCTACACTGAAACATAACGTTTGAAACAAATTAAAATGACAGTATATATGCTACACATCTACATTACTAGTTTTAATTTCTAACACTATAACTGAACATAGAACAAGTAACATTTGCTACCTTCATTTTCAGGCCTTTGTGATCTTTTTATTTTTATTTTAACATTTCAAATAGCTGGATATTTTTAGTGATTTCAATATCATATATATATTTATATATATATATTGTTAATAAAAATGATAATTGATCAAAGACAGCATATGTATATACTGTGAACACAGACAAGCAGGTTATTGGAGTACATTAAATTCTGCGCTTGAGCAAATTCATCAAAATTCTATCGATGTTTTAAGGAACTGAAACCTGAAACCATATTTTTCTGTTCAGATGACCAAACAGGTTTCGCAGAATTTTAGATCATAATGGGGTCACAGTCTGTCAAGCTGTAGGTGCTTAATACTATAAAACACAATGTATTACCTAGTTACAAACTGTACAGGACAATGAAGAATCATAATACCAAATAGTAACACAGACCTCCAGCAAACGTGAGTTGCAAAAATGGTTTTACTATAAAAGTAATTCACACACTGTTTAACACATGACTGTATCAGATGACCGGCAGATCAGTGAGAACGCACACAGGACCAAAAGTGCTTTTTCGTGAGTGTGAAATATCTGACATTTAGCCCAACACAATTGGTTTGCCCCATATGACTAATAACAGGGAATGCCCTTTTATCTGTCCCTCTCTCTGTGTTGTAAGTGCGTACCGTACATGCATGTGATGGGGGTGGAGGGGATAGGGGGGGCCTTTGAAAGAAGTTTTTTTTTTTGCTCAGGTAATGCTCATTTATATCTGGCATATTACTCCAGAATGAAGTTAAGGACATTTTATGGGATCATCTTGTTGGGATGAAAATAATTATGTTTGTAATTATGGAATTATTCATGTCCTCCCAAAGCCAAGTTGACAGTTTTAAAGAGCTTGTTTAAAAAAAAAGAAAAAAAAGTTGTTACTTTATGAAAAGTTATTTTATTTTTGCATTCGACATAAAATGACATCAATTTTTGGGAAAATGACAAACTAAATTTCCCAACCCCCAGAAATGGAAGATAACTAGAGAAGAGAGACTAAATGTGTGTGTGTGTCTCTGTAGCTTCTTTACATGAAGTGTCAATAAAGTGTGTGTGTGTGTGTGTGTGTGTGTGTGTGTGTGTGTGTGTGTGTGTGTGTGTGTGTGCAGTATATTTCACATGCAGTGTTATGTCTCACAGTATTTCAGCTTAAATTGTGAGGGCAACCCCCCACCCCACTAACCACCCACACTTCTTATCTCCATCCCCTCCTCATTCGAAACTCACAATTTAAATTTGACATGCAAAACAGTATAGAGGAAATGCTCTTATCAGTTTACTATAGCGCTTAGTTTCTCTCTCTCCCCTCCAAGATGACACGAAGCTGGGGATGATGACGACAACAACAACATGATGATATAAAAATGATGCCCAGTGATCAGTTGGATCATACAATCATCAGGATTCATCTCTTGATTTTTTAACAGCGACACTTCAGTGTAACTTCATCAAAATGGTAAGAAAAACCTGTTGGTACTACAAATGCTTCATATCTGTATTGTTATTATCTGGTTAGTTAATATTGTTATGATTATATATGACAAATGATGGAATTGATAGTAAATATCCCACTTTGCTATTTAATTTGCATTATTATAACAGATACATAACCTATTTTATTTAGCCAATCGAAATGTCACATGAACATATCATTTTGTGTTTCTGAATTGAAGATGAAATGGGAAATAATAATATTAATGGAAAATCAAATGTAATGGATCATTTTCAACAATTTCCTCCTTTTCCTGTCACCCAATTCTTCAGAAGTCTCTGTTTCTGTGGATGAGTGGGCTTCTGTTCCTCAGCCTCACCGGAGCACAAGACCTCAAACTCTTTCCGGAACACTGTGAGTCTAATTTATTTTCATTTATGAAATATCTGGAGAGGTTCCAAATCTGTTGATCTTGACATGCTAACAAAGGTGTTTTTGTGTTTGTCTGTGTGTGTAACTGTGTGTCTGCATCTATGTGTGTAGTTGTGGTGGCAAAAAAGAATGATGCAAATCCAGTCACGCTGACCTGCCGTACCAATATCGAAGGAGATGTCAGATGGACATTTCAGCTGGAGGATGTCGACATTGAGGATAATATCCAGCAGAATGGTCTGAATCTCTCCGTGTCAGTGGTAGATATACCCATGTTGGGAAAATACAGCTGCTGGAGAGGAGAAGAAATGTTATCATCAACCTATCTGCTGCTGGAGGCTGAGGCGCCTGGTAAGATGCTCCGGTTTCATTTTCCATTATTTTTTATTGTTCATATACTTTAAATGGCAAGAGTCTCTCAAATAGAGGAACTCATAGTGCACACTTAATTCCAAAATAGCCCGAACCTTGAAGCTGTCGTCATGTCTGACTAGGTGGTCAAAATGATGAGACTGGAAGTTGAAAATACTGAAACCTACTACGATGCACTTCCAACCACAATGTCTTACATTTAGTAATATTTTCTCTTCATTTTTTGGAAGTGACAAAGTCCAAAAATGTTCCTTTACACTTGTGGTTACTCACGTTGTGTCTCTTTATAGATTATCTCTCTTGTCGGGCTAAGTCTTATGACTGTAACTTCAGCTGTGTCTGGATCGACAAACGACAAACCGCAGTGCGCCTTGGACAAACTGCAGTGCGCCTTGGACTGGGCCGTGAATGGTAAAGAAAATAAATAAAGTTACAGTAAAAGAGGCCGAATATTTTGCATAAAGTTTATAAAGACAGACCATCAGGTAGATATTTCACTCTGTGTTTGCCCTGTAGCAGTGAAGGTGGGAAGACGTGTGATTGGGTCAGCAGTGATCAGCAAGATGGGAGATTCCAGTTTGAGCTGAACCACTCGTTCTCACCCTACACTGAGGAAAGCACCCAGCTGGAGGTCACCGTGGAGGCCATCGTTGAATTCTTCGTCCTCAGGAAGACCAAGAGATTTTATCTCAGAGACATCAGTAAGCTGAGAGAAGCTAAGATACATATAAGGCATTCTACGAAAGATTTGATTACAAATATACCGAATACAATTCCTGACAAAGTTGTTGACACATTTTGAGATGAGATCATTCAAAGTAATAGTAAATTGGTCTCAAAGGATGAAAACCAAACGTTAAAAGAGTTTGGTTTCAATCAAACATTGATGTACAAACCTTTATCATTATTATCAAAAACTATAAAAGTCATAATAAAAGGCAATAAGTGATAAATGAACTTATTTCCAAATAAATTGACCACTATCACAAACAGCAAAAAACAGCTGTGACTTGAAATTAAAACATAAGAATTAAAGTAAAAAAAAGACAAATGTAAGCCTCCAATCAAACTGTCAACAGTTTTCCCTTTTTTAAATGAATGTAATTATTTCAGCAAAATATGTATACATTTTTATACATACTTTAATAATTCCTTACTGATAAGTGTTGACCCATGTTTTCCTTGTTTCTCTAATTTGTGTATGTCATTTTGTCTAGTTGAACCTGACAGTCCCAACATCGTGAGGTGTCAGGAGGGGAAGGAGGACCTGACCATTACCATCGATGCACCGTCCAGCTGGTCCACTCCGCACAGCTACTTCAGCCTGGAGCACCAAATTGAATACGTTTTAAAAGATGATGGCAAGGTACACATACATCTTTTCATGTCTGTCCTTATTCTCTCTGTTGTTTTTGTTTTTTCTCATTGTGCGACCTGTCTGACTTTAGATTGGACGTTCTTCTTCTGTTCTGATACCAAAGAGGATCAGCAAGCTGAGGGTTCGCTCCAGAGACGCAATGGTGCTCTCAGCCTGGAGCCAGTGGACTGCCTGGAAAAATGTAACCTGTTGACATTATTCCAACACAACACTGTCTGCTCCTGCTCTCTCTTTGTTTCTTTGATGTCCACAATGTCCTTGTGTCCTCTAACCTACTGTTTTTCCCTATGTGCTTCTGGCTGTCTCCCTTTGGGGCAATGACACACACTGATAGCTAAAAGATAACACAGCACTCACCAGAAGCGCAGTAATACGTCCCTACGTTTTAAGACAGAAGATCACTAAACACTGTTATTATTTATTTGTATTTATGACTGTACTCAAACTAATAATTTGTGTATATATTAATATTTATTCTAAATATTTTACAACTCTATATGTATTTATAAACACACAGAATTAAAGCAGTATGACATATTATTTGCAAGTAAAACATGACTGAATGGTTTCGTGGGACCACATCTTATAAAATTGGCCTCAACAGTTTTGTCCAATTTAAGATCCTTGTTGAAATGACAATCAAAGGCAATTTACATATGACACCATTCAACATGAATCATAACTTGAGGAGTCAGTCCAGTTGCACTCTATACAGTCTTTCTCAAAGTGTGTTCCTTGGCCCTGTGTATTTCTGTATAAGTGTGTTGGTGTTTCTGTGTATCTTGGTGGTTTGTGACTGTGCGGCTATTAAAAGAGCTTTGTGCTTCCTTCCTTATGTATGTTACTTCTTCATTTATGTGTTGCATGCTCATGTCATGTGTACAAATGCAAAAAGTGCAGTACCAGTCCACATGTGTGTACTTTATGTAAATCAGGCTGGACAAAGTATCAGAAATATCCATCAGTTTCTAGTGTATGCTCCTAATCATAGTTACTAATCACTTTTATATTATTATCTACAGTACAATACTCCGGTAACAATTATAATGGATTTCTTATTTTATCATCATCACTAGTGCCTGATTTGAGAACACAAATTAGTTTAGTGGTAAAGAAGTCACACTTTTTATAACTATACCATATTTGTAGTATTCAACTGTTTCTTAGTTGGTAAAAAAATAAGCTATATATTTTAGCAATTAATATGATTTTTTCAATTAGAAATTAAAACGTTAAATAGATTCAAGAAAATATCTGTGGTTGTAACGGATATTTGTAATGTTTTCCCATAGCTATATCATCATTCAACAGGGATTTGTTTGTGCAAACAAAACAGACCCTACAGGCACTAACAAGCACTAGAAAACAGCAAAATTACGCAAAGGTGTATTAGAGCTGCATCTGCTAGCTAGATTTGATATACATGACAACTTATTTGAAACCTAGCAAAGATTATGGTTTCAAATTTTCTGATTTTAATGATTCATCCTGTAGTTCAATATTGTCAGCAGGAACATTTTGCCAGATTCTATTTACTTAAATCGGAGCACATGCCGAGAGCCCAACAGAAAATGTTGTTGTCCCAAAGCTAAAAAGTAAAATAAATATACTTGCTGACAGCTCAATAAAGTTCAAAAACATATTTCCCGGTGAGCAAACATAGACATACCTGCATAGAGCATAATTGGCTTGAAGCTTTAGCAGTAAATGACAACGTTGCAGAAAAATAACATGCTCCAATGGGAAAGTAATGCAGAGCATTACAAATGCCCAAAGAGCAACTCTTAAAACATTTTAATGGGAATATTTTTAATACATATAGCCAGAACTTGCAGACACATTTTATTAATGTAAGATTTGTAAAAAAAAAAGTGTTGCTTTTTATTTTCCTGTAATCAGAACCTAATCTGTCATTAACTCATTGCAGGTGATTACAGGGAAAAATAAACTCTGCAAATGCAAAAACAAAGCAAAGACATGCTGCCCAGAGTTGCCATCTGAGTACTTGGAAAACTGCAAGAACAGAAAAGGAAGAAAAAAAGGGAAAAAAAGTGCTAAGAAGACTTTAAAATACAATGCTTAATAAATAACATCCATCGCAACTGGGACCATGCTGGTGTACAAACACCTTTGTTTGGAAATAACGTAAATGTGGATGTATTTGTATACATGTTTTTAGGGATAATGCAAACACATCTAGCCGTGCAATAAATCTATACCTTCATGAGCATCAATTTCATTCAGTCTTTATTTTATTTCATTTTCATGAAATTCTTCTTTGTATTAAGGGTTCATGGTTATTATTATAGTGCAGAGTATTTTTTTAGCAGCTGGAAAACTAAAAATATAAATGTATTGCTTTACTGGGGAACAATTAGTATCATATGTTTTTTCAATCTTGCATTCCATTTGTATGAAAACCTAACAAGTGAATATAAACGCAAACCATTCTTACCAATTCTGAGATTTCCAAAATCTTTTGAAAAGCAAATCTGGGTAAATGGTAATATGATTATTACATTTTTGTCTATTGGAATATGACACAACAAGTGCTTGAAAGTTTATCTATGTTATAAAAATAATAAAACATACTTTTCAATTAAAATTGTGTTCTGTAATTGGCCGAGATTTGAGTCTTTCACTGTTAATATGAATTTATTTTACTTTTTAGTTCTCTTTTATTTTTGAGAAGTCACTATTTTATTATGGTTTATTTTCTTCTCTTTTTCATTTCCCATTATTTGCAATGCTTTGATAACATGCTGATGTGACGAAAACATTTCTCAAATTGGGATCAATGAAGTTAATCTAAACTAATCTAAATAATCCATATTGTAAAAATATATAATGTTTTTCCATGAGCGGGTTCACATTATGTTATCTATCTTGTAAGGTGTCCTTGGCTGGAAGTAAAGTAAATATTCTGCTCTAGAATATAAATATGTTGGATACACAGTGCACAGAGAGTTGTAAATAAAACAATTTAGGAAGAGGGGTGGGGGGTCAGCTAAAGGGGCCAAACAGTTTGGTTTTGCCCCGCGACCACCTCGCAGGTTGATCCGCCTTTGCGATGTACGCATGCGCATTAAAAAAGCGCGGAAGTGGTTCCTTTAACCTGCTGGTCTGTTGTTCATTCACAGAACGACAGCTAGCACACAGTATGGACAAACAGCGATCTCAATTATAAAGCTACACGTCTGTTTTATTTAACGTTAACTATCTCTACAAATGCCTTGAACATGGCAAAGGTTGTTTGGAAGACGGCTTTCCTTTTATACCTCTGGAGTGTTTTCATACAGTTCAATAGCATTTCAGGTAAGTAAGGGGCGGGGGAGCATGTAATGCTAGTAAACCGCAAATTTAGCTAACGTATCAGTGTAACTGTCATGTTAGCTCGAGGGTTTCAGAAGCTTTTTAAGGCTTTCGTCTGTACTTCTGTATTTTCTCAGTGAATTATCATCTCATATGTGCCTGCTTCTGCAACTCTGACCTCGTAATGTTACTGGTGATGCAGTTATTCACATGTCTGCCATTATAACTAACGCTGACCGTGGAAGTGTATAATAGATATTGGACAGACATTGACTCTATGGTGGCGTCTTCTTTCTCATAGGACGGTTAGCTCACATCTTAGCCATACAGTATATGATCTTAGCACTTGCTCTTAACTACAGGGTTTCAATTTAGGACCAAAACCAGAGCTGGGAGAAGTACTCAGATCTTGTACTTAAGTTAAAGTAGAAGTAACAGAGTGTAGGACTACTCTGTTAAAAGTAAAAGGCCTGCATTCAAAATTGTACTCTAGTAACAATACAAAAGTAAGTAGTAATTATTATGCAAATTGGAACGTTTCAGAATAATATATATTATATCGTTTGATTATAATTATTGAAACATTCAAGTGTTTATCAAAGCTGGTAAAGGTGCAGATAGTTTTAATGACTTCGTATACCGCAGGGTAGATGAATTTACTCTAGGTTTAAATAGTCCTTTTTAAGTAAGTACAACGTAGCATAAAATACTCAAGTAAAGTACAAGTATCTCAAAATGGTACTTGAATAAATGTATTTAGTTACTTCACACCTCTTCACAAAACCAAAAACCTAAAAATAATGTCACTGCGTGTTGTTTAATGTTGGTCCTGTTAAATTTCCTTTTTTGTACCCTAGGTCTTGGGATCAATGAACTGCTTTATTTCCGGGTCATCAGTCCAGAGGAGATAGGGTACATCTTCAGTGCAGCACCTGCTAAAGACTTTGGAGGAGATTTTGTGAGTTGTTGTTGTTGTTTGTATAATTTCACATGTTGGTCAAAGGGTTGTCAAGCATCAGACGCATGTGTTCACCAATCACTTACCATCACATTCCTTTTCTCTCATTTTGTCCCTAGACGTACTCATATGATAAGATTTTCCTGGTGCCAGCAGACCCAGCAGATGGCTGTTCAGAGCTGGAGGACAGAGAAATCATACAGGGACAAGTAGTCCTGGTGGAGAGAGGGTACGTGCACATTCATAAGCAACAATAGCTTCACTTGTATAAGCCATTGAGTCTGGAACACTTTGGATATGTGGTAAACTGGAATTGTAAGTTTGCATCAATCCTTTGAAAATTGAAGACATGGCCTGAAATGAAAAGGGGTTGAGTGGATGGCCAAGCAGTTGTTATAAGTTTAGATGTGGTGTCGTTATTGACTGTCCTATCACAGCCTTGTGAGGACAGTTTTGCATTAAGAAGACATGCTTTTTTTCAAGCCATTATATTTATTTCACACATTTGACGTATAATGTTAATTTCAATAGTGCTCGTCTGGCTCATACAGCAGAATATAACCTTCAGGCTTCTACATCTTTGTCCCCGTAGTGCAGGCGCATAAGAGTCTTTGTCTGGCCTCGTCAGCCACCAGTCTGCATTCCTAACGTGCACAAAAATATGTTTATATGGTTGTGCAATAACATTTTTATTCTTTAAACTGACATAACACACTTAAACAGTGTTTAATTTGTAGAAACAGAGATAATAATTATATTAATGATTAGTTCCCTATAATGTCAGCAGAGGGGTTCAGAGTCAGATTCATGTCAAGCAAATTCAATGTGTTCAAATAACTGGCAAATAAAAAGACTTTTACTTGATTATGGATTCAAATACTTTTGATATGAACCTGTTTGGTTGCTCATGACATTTTAAATGT